ATAAAAACTTTGAAAAAACAAAAATAGAAAGACTGGACTTCCCGTATTTGGAGCAAATAAAATCCAAAAATTACTCAGGCCCATTTAGTAAATGGGCTCATGAACATATCAATGCTGTGTAATAATATAAAGAAAATAAAGAAAGATCCATGAAAAGAAAGTCTGTTGGCCCAAATCAAAGTTTGAGAAATGTCCAATTTAAAAGTGTTGGGCACAATTTCCTCCGATCAATGACCGATTTTCTCAAACGGTTTTTTTTTTTTTTTTTTTGTTAAAAAATCAAAAATTAACAATCAACAATAAAAAAATCTCCCCCAATAATGCTATGCTGGGATACATAAAACATACAAGAAGGCACTGTAACCCTTATTGGAGGAAACCATTGTATCTACATTCAATTCTTTATTTCTTTATATAATTAATTACCCATTTAATCAAATCAGGTTTGCATGCTTGCTTGGTCACTTGCAACCCATGTTAAAAATACATTGAAGTAATAAATCAACTTTGTTTCTAGCGTCTTCAACAAATACGCTGTTACAGATACAACATCAAAATTTTTGCTTCAATTAGATATTTCCATATCAACTCCAGGCTGCGATATCACAATTCTGCACCCTGATTGTGATCAATCCACTGACTCATTCATCAAAGCAGCATTCTCCATTCACCAATGCACAAGCGTTTTTAACATTACCATGTGAATGGTCATAGGCTTCAGGCTCCGGCGCCACTACTTAGCTGCAGGGTCATTTTTATGTTCATGGCTGCTAATTCAGCTGCCAAATATCTAAACACATAAGGCATTGCAACAGTTTCCATCCCTTTACTTGTCTTACAAGCATGGCATGTGACCTTCTTCGGAGCTCTTGCAGGAGGCAACCCACCAATCTCTCGAACCGCCCGCTTTTGTGTCTGGATGAGAGATGTGGTAAGGATGCTTCCACACAAGGAGCAAACATCAGCAATGTGGTGATCAGAGCACGTATGGAGCCTATCGTGCAACAAATATGCAGCACCATGAGCAAGCATGGCGTCTCGTTCCATTTCTCCAAAACGTATACCTCCACCACGCTTTCTCCCTTTGATTGGCTGTCGAGTAATCTGGTCAACTTGTCCAGTGGAGCGAACCTGAATGGCATACAATGAATACAACGTAACAAAATTTCCCACAAATCAGCTCAAAGGAACTCTAAATCTCTAATAGGCCGTATAACAAACCTCAATGGTTTACCAACAGGCTTTGTATAACCTTTTACATAGAGCTTCAGTCTCAATTTGAAGGAATACCAAATGAATATACCAAAACCAAAAAAAAAAGGAGGTTTTCACCTGAAATTTGTCTGAAACCATGTGCCGCAGTCGTTGATAATAAACAGGCCCAATAAAGATCTCACATGTTAGTTCTGTTCCATAGACCCCACTGTATAATACCTCAGTCCCGTGGTAATTAAACCCGCGAGCCCTCAACATGGAGCCAAGTTCATCAACAAGTGACTCAGAACCCGTCACGGTCTCTCCATTATCTACCTTGATAGTGTTGGAAAATGGAGTTGCATCCACAAATTTCCCATGCAAGCTTCCTCCCTGAGAAATAAAAATATTAAGCATCCAGTACAATTATTAAAGTGGGAACAGACCACTCAAAATTCTAATATGCAGATGTCCATACATTAACATAGGCAAACTTATAAACATTCATCGTAAAACCATGACTAAATTTCAAATCACTTAGGAAGGTACTATTGAACATCACTGCATCATATACAACAAATCAAAATTGGTTTACAAATCTTTGACTTTGAACTGTTCAGCATGACAGTCAATATATCATTTCTTGGTTTAGTTGGAAATACCTTGGCAGCAACTGATTCCAAAAGCATAGCAATTGTCATTCTGGAAGGAAATGCATGAGGATTAATAATTAGATCTGGACGCATTCCTGTAACTCCAGAGAATGGCATGTCAATATCTGGCCATAACTGAGAGCAAACTCCTTTCTGTCCATGTCTACTGCTAAATTTGTCACCAATGATAGGGTTTCTTGGATGTCTAAACCGGATATTAACCTGCTCAGAAAAAGCAAGAATCAAGGTAAGGAAGTATCCACTAGAACATGATTAGAAGTCACATGCCATAACAAGTTATGGGTGATCAAGAGATCATTGTGTTATCCTAGAAGCAAGTTAACAACACATGGAATCAAGGCAACTGCAATCTTTCAATATAAACTTAACAAATGACTTGGTCTTCACGCAGGCTGACAAATATTATCCAAAACTTGTTCTCGATATTCACATCAGTCTGGCTTCAAGACTCTTTACTTTGGATTAGAGTTACAATATATTACTAGTCACTAAGTTTCTAATTTAGTGAATTTTCTCCAGAAGAAATTGATTCCTACTTACCTTCTGAATATCCTTGTTGTTCTTCACATCAACTGCAACATAGTCAACCATAACAGTTTCTGAACCTTTCCTTTTGTAGATTCTCTTGGAATTTGTCACCTGATTAATAGTGCTACAGTAGGGTTCATTTGGACCTAACACCTGAATGTCATTTATAAGTTAGTTGGCCGGCAAAAGTAAGGATAACTTCGTGAGCATCAGAGGCTAACCTGTCCAACATATGGAAGTCCATCTGAATCAATAAAAGAATGGGATGACTTATCCAAATGGTCTCTTTTAAATATTCTTTGACCTCGCTCAAACTTGCTGCCCTCATCAGTTAAATCAATAGTTTCTGTCTGCCAAACAAAGAAGTAGATATTAAGATGCATCATACTAAGAAAATTCTCACTGGAAGTACATTTCAACTTTTGTTACATGGAGCCAAAACAATGCAATCAAACATTAAATAAGAAGCTCACACATGGACAAAATTATGCAGAGTAAAATGAGAAAGCAAACCTGGTATATTTGCCCACGACACATCCCACGCTCCACAGATGATTTATTCAGAATCATGGCATCCTCCATATCATATCTGGATAATGCAAATAAAGTGAATGGTAAAATATTACCAAAGAAATAAAAGCTACTTCATATGCTTGTGTTCTAGACATACCCTGTATATGCCAGCACTGCAACTATTGCATTTGTTCCTGATGGATATTCATCCATGCAATACTTAGTATATGTTTTTGTGCGTACAATTGGAGTTTGAGGGGTCTAGAAGTGAATGACAAGATGTAAGCTTTCAACAGAAAACCAGAAAAGGAAAGAAGATTGGTAGAGAACAAACCTGAAGGTGATATAATTTTTGATCCGCACGAGAGTGAATTGCTTGCGATGAGAAAGCCATTGTTTGCTTTGCCATCTATGTATGATTCCAAAAAAAAAAAAGGCAGAAGTTAAGATATTGAACATCAGGCAATTAATACAAAGACAGTTAATTTCAATGTGTGAGAAAAACCTGGCACTGGTACATATTACGTGGGCTTTGATTATGATCTGACCAAGGTGTCAGGTTAGCCACAACGCTAAGCATTCCAGTTGGATCAATTTCTTCATGAGTGGCAGGAAAAGTAGTACTTCGTCCTCCATCACCACCATCTGGACATCTTATTTCCATAAAAACCTGTGGCTTAAAATAATTAGTTCACCCACTAAATAAGAAGAGATTCACCAAAATAACCAATGTGGTAGAATAGGACTTATGTATTCACCTGTTCAAATGGCCCAACGAGTTCAATATTTCTTTCACTTCCAGGAGGGATAGATATATTTCTCACTGGTCGAATAAACCTAGATGGAGATGTGAAGAGGTATAAGCCAGGATATGCCCCACCAAAGCTCAAAGGAACATAACCCACTTCCAAGTCATCAGGAATCTGCAATAGGCATTTAAAAAACATGAGTGGCAAGCAAAACAAAGATCTAGGTGAGGGAAATCATTCACGAGGGGAACAAAAGCAGGGGACAGAAGTCAATAGAACCAGACCACTGAAGCAGATGACACTTTTAGTCTCCGTAAATAAGCGACAACTTTCTCAACTTCAAGAGATGGTAGAGAACCAACGACACGACCATCCAAAAGAACAAGAAGGACTTCAGGAGGACCAGCATGATCAACTTTTGGCAATGAAGTAATCATTCCAACCCCAACTAAAACGTTAAGAATAGACATTCTTATTTTGAAAAAATCTCTAATATTTCCCTCAGAGTCATAGTATGATGTAACTCCTGAAATACAAAATGGGGAAAGAAATAAGATACCATCTCCAAGAATTTCTCATCTACAAGATGCATTTGTTATTGTTGTTGATACTTACATTTACTAGTATAATAACCATAATCATTATAAAAGGTTCACAATCAAGTTTTAGTTATTCTTATTCTTATTAAAGAATAGATTAAAACTTTCTTTGTTTACTGGCCTTATACCATCATTACATTAGAATTGTACATAAAAACTCACTGCCAGCACATCAACTTTCCAGGCACGTACAATCCATAACATTACTTATATCAGGTTCTCAATGTCAAAACTAATAGTGGCAGTTCAATTCCCCTCTTAGACCATCTCAATTTACCATGTTTCCTCAAACAAATCAACAAGTGTTGGAGAAACACAAAATCAAGATTGTCGCTAAATATGTGACAAATCTTCAATACCCTAGCCAAAACTTTCCAAAATTCCCAAATTTTGTGGAAAAGGAGTAAATAAAGGATAAAACTTACGACATGTACGTGTCATGTGGTTCAGCAACCCACATGGCTCTCCATCAGGGGTGTGCACAGGGCAAAGAAAACCCCAGGATCTATAAGCCAAAAAGAATGGTTGCATTATATTAAGATGTTGATCACAAAATCTTAGAGATAATCATAGAAGCTGTTGTATTAATTAGTAAGCAGAGACACATACTCAGGTAGCAACTTCCTAACACTTGTTGTGCGGAGTCCAGCAAATGAAGCTCCACGATGAACAGCCCGAAAAAATGAAATAAAACGTAGGTAATTAAGCCTCTCTGCCTGAACTGTGTAGCCAGCCCTCTAATGAAGCAAAAGGAAAATTCATTAATGATTTCCCTAGCTCTATACCAAAATAATACAAAGATGTGGGATATTAAATAAAACTGAAAAGCAGGTAATAGAAAGGCCAAGGATGCCACCAAAATTACTACAGATACCCCCTACCATTACTTTGAAAGAAAAAGAAAAATTGTTTGAATGAATTTTCATGCACTTGTTCTGTGTTAGAAAATTCTGTATAGGAACAGAATCCAGTCCAGAAATCAAAACTAAATAGCTAAGCTGCATGCTTTGAGAAATTCATATTTAACATCAAAATGCTAATGGCTTCATGGATTTTAAGTTGTTGGCATCCTGTAACATCTTCAATTACCAAAAACTTCTGTCCCACACCATCATCTAGACTTTCTACAAATGGGTGAATTTATGACCAGTGTGGAGATAAATCATCTGTCTTCTGTGACTACCAAAAGATTAAATGTACATATTACAGCTGATTAATCTTAAAAAACACCAACTAGAACAAGCTGGTATCCCAAATAGTCACTGTATGTACACTAAACATAAAAAAACTTCCATGAAAACCTTGAAACCATCATTGCCATCAAGGTTATTATCTTTAAACTCTCATCCAGTCATCCAAAGCACAATATGTGTAGTTTAAATAGCCTACCATTCAGTAGTTTAAGTTCATAGATTCTGATTTAATGGTTAAAAGTTTTGAATGGAAAAACTGGCACCGACCTGCTGTAAATCTAGGCCCGTTTGCGTAATCAGTCTTCCGGTTTTCAGCATATTCTCAACTGATAAACTGATTTGCTTTGATGGATTTTTATCCATTACCTTCTTGACATCTTGTACTGCATCGTATTGGGCAAAACATGGTAATGTCAGTAGGAGGAATAACATGCACAATTCTTTTCCAATTTCATATACAGAATAAACCTGCCTCAAATACCAAACTTAAAGGATGAAAAACATCACACTCTTTCCACATCAGACACTAATTTCTTGACTTGCATTTGCTTGTGTTATTCATCAAACCAGAAAAAATAAGGCAAAAAAATAACATACCACTGAAGAAATCAAACTGTTTCTTTGTGTTATTAATCTCGTCTTCAAGAAGCCTTTTTGACTTGCGTAACCAATCTTCCAGTTTCTCCTGGAAATCAAAACAATGAAATAATCAGCATCATAAGATATTAAGAAAAGGTAATTCTAATGATATATCTCACCTTGCAGATAAAAATAAGTTACTAAGAAAAATGGCAACATTTTACAGATTATGACTACCACATTAAGCCAAATCAATATTGTAAGTTTGTGACCAAGATGTCACTTGTTCAGTGCATTAGTGGCCATCTGCGGCCATATCAGATGCAAAAGAAAGTGTTCCAACAAAATGGAACCAATACATTAAAGAAAACACATTCTGATTTAGAGGTTAAAATGAAAGACGAAAAATGCCAGTAAACAAAGTGATCACCAAGAGCCAAAAAGCCTCAAAGTTGATTTGTTTTCTTTTAATTTAAAAAAATACGCACACAAGCCTCATTGAATTTGACAGCCTACCACAATAAAATTTCCAGCAAAAAACTATTGACTAGTTTCTGCTGAAAGTCCCTACCTTGAGGTAAATAGTAATGATATGACCTGGGAGTAATATTTCCTGGTTTTGCAAGGAATCAAGATTGTCAGGCACAGAAGTCTGATCTATAAGTGAGTAAAGTTTCTGCACCATAAAGCTAAAGAAAAGAAGTTAACCACAAATCCAAATAGGAAAAACAATAGAGAACTCCAAAGTAAAGAAATGGTGTGCAAGAAACAATAGAAAATATCAACCACTGGAAATATGAAATTAAAATTAATGGTAAGGAGATATTATCTAACATAAGCAGATTGAACTTGTCATTGTTGTCATCCAAGTGGACAAATATATAACCCCTTAGAACTGCATCAGCAACCTACAAGAGAATAAATAGAAAAGAATATCTTAGGTTTTACTCTGTGATTGCTTTGCTTTTTTACTTCCTAAATGAAGGGATCTAACTTGTTTGAGTGGAAAAAGGAGCATAATAAAAAAATAAAATATAACTTACAACTGAATAACTCTCACTTTCCATTCCGTCCATAATTGGTTGGAAATGTTCCCCTGTACAAATAATAAGGATTAGTGAATAGCTGTTACTATGTGAAATAATATATTTGATACAAATATCACAGAAATTACCAATATGCTGCAGGCACTGCTCCTGTGTAAAAAGGGACAAGTGATTAACTTCATCAAGAATGATTTTTGCCCTTTCACCCACAAGTTGGGTTGCAACAGCTCCCTTTCCCTTCTCATATTTCTCATTATAGCAGCATGTCAGTTTCAGATAAATTTCATGATCGTTAGTGTCTATCAGAGCCTGATAACAACAAATATTAATTAGGAGAAGGAATAATAATAATAAAATGGCATGGACTTAGTATATGTTAAGTCAACAGAATCTATGTTTCCCAATAGTGGACCTCAAAATGACCACAAGATAGGAGCAAAGACAACTCTTTCTGCTGTAATGGTTGCAAACGGGTGAATCATAAAAATCAAATTCTGAGGGTTCCAGAGCTTGGTTAGAGAAGTGACCTGATCAAAGAAGTGCAAGTCACTTAGCATTAATGTGACAGGTTTTGGGCCTTGAATGGTCAAAGGGAATACAGAGCAACAGCACAAAAGACAGGAGGTGGGATCAACTATAATAATTGCTCCAAAAATTTATTGTACAAATACATGATTTTAACTGGTTTCAGATGTGACTAAACTCTAAAGATTAAAAATCCACAAGCACAAAGCTTTTGTTGTGATATTAGTACATTACATAGGAAACGCTTTAAAATAAAAGCACATATCTTTGACAAAAAAAAAAAAAATGTATATATATATATATATCTGGCCATAAAAAGAGCATATATCTTTGGCAAAAAAAAAAGAGCATGGATCTTAAAAAAACACCTTTAAAACAATGCCTACAGGAAGCAGGTATTCCCTCCCTTGTATCCTGCAAAAGTAAATTCAAAGTAAGTTCATTTAAGTTTGACTATAAAATCAGAAACCAGAGGATAGATTATTCTAATTCCAAACATTGATAACTTTCTTACCAAAATCCAACTCTTGCACTTCCATTACGAAGATAATACAGTTTGACTGTCACTGAAGATTGATCTTCACGAACACACCTGTGTGAGAATGAAAATCAGATTTGGATTTATTGATGACAAGCTTTTGAATACATTAGTTCACCAATGTACAATCCTCTTAACATTATGCTCATATAGATTTCATAATAGAAGACAATAAATGGTGGAAAAGTCAATATATGCTATGTTGTTCAAAAAACCTGCACTGGTCCAACTTCTAAAAAATATAATTATATGACATAAGTAACAGTGTTCATAGAACAGAGTGAACCTTATGACAACTGCATTATCAGTATACCCTTCCCGCCGGTCATGAAATGAATTCCGCACCACACTCATTGGCTGAAAATATAACACTGCTTCAGCTATGCAATTACTTATAGACAAAAGTCAACAGGGAAAATTCTGCATAAATGTAGAATTCTAATCTAGATGTACGAAATTTTTAATCCAATTGAAAATTCTGCTTCTTATCTGAAAATAGAATGAAGGAAACAATAGAAAGGATAACTTACATAGTTCCGCTTGGGTAATATTAGATTTCGAGCTACTCTCTCAAGGCCATTCAAAATAAAATAACTACATAAGATTAAAAAGTTCAATCAATTAGTTAAAAAAAAATACTTAAAAGTAAAGACAGAATAGCAGTGCGCTAAAAAAATGGTCATTCATAATTTCATATATGATGAGATTCACTATTTTTTTTTTTCCCAGAACATGAGAATTCATCTAAATTTCACATTAGATCCAGATAACAAATGTCTTGAATTTTCACACTTTCTGTCAAATGTTGCAGATATGATCTTATATAACAATGAAAAAGAAAGGAATTTCCTAACCTTTAAGGATGCATTTATTGCATCCTTTTACCATTATATTATATGGAAAAAATAAAGTTGACTTAAGTTTTATCAACTGTCCAATTAAATCATTTCATGTGACATTGATGTTAAAAATAAAGTTACTTTTTGCAGAATTCTATAAAAATTAATGGTGAATAGGTGTAATAAATGCACCCTTAACCTGAGCCATTAGGGCATAGGTTAGAAAAACCTGAAAGAAAAAAATAAAACACCAGAAGAATAAGCTTGACACAAAAAATAAATAAATAAATATTAGCATGTTGATATCATTGATCTCAAACGTGATACAACTAACAGTGTAGATGATACTCTTCCTTTCCTTTGACATAAAAAGAGCAGCCAATTACTCACCCGCCCATTTCTGGCGACTCTTCTTTGTAAGAAACCAGTTTCTTAGGATCCGCATTTCGCAAGTAACACCGTTTTGACTGCATTAAAATATATTAAACTCAGCCATCAAATAGCAAGCAAAAAATTCAATAAAAAGAAATGATTCAGCCAGGAAAAAAAATTTATGTTTATTACTTCTGCCTGAGCCTTTTTGAAGAAAAATAAGGAAAAGACAAACACGTTTGAAATTCAAGTCAACTTCTGTACAGGCAGTGAAAGGAAATGAAACTGAATGCTCCGTAGGGAACCACACAACCAAATGAGAAATCTTCCATCTAACATGAACTTTGGTCTTAGAGCTAGCTAACTTTCATTCACCCAAGCACAAATGACCACCAAAAGATTAAATTTTTTTCTAGATTATTTGGATCATCAAGCAATGATCAGGTCAAAATTCTCATGTGGAAAAAAGATTTGACTCAAATGACATGAAAATTTTTATCATGATTATTTGTCTGATGAAAAAGTATCAGGAAGAGTTTTCATCAAAGGTTTTTCCATTAAAAGAAAAGAGATAATCTTATATCTCCTTCTCCTAGCTGAGCTGACTTAAACCACTGTATTCAGGTTGAAGCTACAGACACAAACTTGCGCCAAATGCATACACCAACCTTCAACATGATGGGAAATTGGCCAAAATTGAACTTTTCTCTAACAGAAGCTCCACCATCCCATTGAAAGAAAACATTCATAAGAAAGGTCCCCGTGTAAGAAATTTTAGCTTGTCTACACTGTTTACAAGAAGAAAAAGGCTTTCAACCCATTAAGAAACAGGAAAACATATACTTAGTAGATCAATCAAACAATCCAAGTCAAATGTGTGAAACTTTACTTCAAACGGGTATAGCCTGTCGCCCATTGCCCTCGAAGCTCGTTCCTTCTGCGGCTCTTGTATCTCAGGGCTACCCAACCAGAGTAAGATACCAGTCAAGAACAAACACAAATTTGACTTTCCTTAATATAATGATATTCAAAATTTTGCTCATTCTCCCTTTCCCACTTCCTTAGAGCCCGTTTGCCACAGCTGAAACTTTTATACAAGTGCGTGCGTTTTCTTAGAGCTTTTGTGGAAGTGACTAAATCATGAAATTATAAATAACTCAGAAGTTTAGCTGCAAAAGCTCTACTTAACAAGATACAAATTTCTAGCCAGCACTCAGGAAGCTGATAGCTAGGAGCTGGAAGCAGCTTCTAGAA